TTTTGTGTTGCTCTGCTTCTTCTTCTTTAGAGAGTTTAGAGATCTCTGCTGTGTATAATATAGTCTTGTTCCAGGGGCAGAAATAGTAGTCCTGCAGTTTTTCTTCTTCTGTGCTTAGAGTAGCGTTTTGTATTAATTGTATAATTTGCATAAGCTGAGTAGGTGGGCCTGTTCTTAGCCTTAGGAGAGCAGCTTCTTCCTCTTGTTCTGTGCTAGATTCTAAGTCTTCTCTTTGTAACTGTAGAGTAGCTTTTAGAGTCTTAATTATAGTGTAAACAGGGTGGTCTTTAGGTAGCTTTCTAGCTCTAAAGGCGTACTTTCTTAGAGCAGTATTTAGTCTTATAGCAGGGGGAGGAAGTGCTGCTTTAGTCTCCTGTGGTGCTATAGGAGAGGTCCTAAAGGTTCCTAGGATTTTTCTTAGGGCAAGATTCTGCAATCCTTGGAGTTGCTTTGTTATTCCTGCTTGTTGTTTCCAGAAGACCTGGCAACCATAATCCGCGATGCTAGAAACGCATGCTAAGTATAGCTGTCTTATAGCGCTAGGGGGGAGGCCTCTATTGCTATTTGCAAGTCTGCACATTCTGTAGAAAGCGTTTCTTGCTTGGCTAATCCTTGTAGCTACGTGTTCTTTAAAGGAGAGTGCATTGTCAAAGTAGATTCCTAGCCACTTTACTGTCTTTTTAGGCTCTATAGTAGACCTGTCTGGCAGGGTTAGTGTGGAGCTAATAGCTTTGTTGCTTGTTGTAAAGTGAATAAGCTCTGTCTTTGCTGCATCAAATTGTATAGCGCAGCTTGTTCCTTTAGCAAATAGGCTTGCTATGTCTCTTTCTAGCATGCGGATATTCTTCTTTAGGCTAGTAGATGATGCTGTAATTGCTAGGTTGTCTAGGTAGGATAGGGAGTAGTTTGTAATAGATTAAAACAGAGGTCTAATATATATTAGAAACAGGATTAGTGAGACAGGGCTGCCTTGTAGAATCCCTGCTGTAATGCTGCTAAAGCCTTCTGTTTCTCCATTAAAGGATAGTCTAAGCTGGCGCTTAGATAGGAATGATTTAACCCATGCTATTAAATTGCAAGGTAGCTGTAGCTGTTGTAGTATAGCAAGTAGCTGGTTTAGAGCGACGTGGTCAAAGGCGCCTTTAATGTCTAGGAATACTGTAGAGGTTGTGTGTTTTAGTTTTCTTTGCTCTTGGACCTGGTTTAGCAGCAGTATAGTGTAGTCCTTAGAGTTGCTTTGTTATTCCTGCTTATTGTTTCTAGAAGACCTGGCAGCCATAATCTGCAATGCTAGAAACACATGCTAAATATAGTAGTCTTACAGCGCTAGGAGGTAGCCCTCTATTGCTGTTTGCAAGTCTGCACATTCTATAGAAAGCGTTTCTTGCTTGGCTAATCCTTGTAGCTGCGTGTTCTTTAAAGGAGAGTGCGTTGTTAAAGTAGATTCCTAGCCACTTTACAGTCTTTTTTAGCTTTGTCTAGTAGGGCAAGTGTAATTGATTGATTGATTGATTAGTTTAACGTCCTGTGTGAGTCTAAGACTATATAGGACGAGAGCAGTGAGGCTGCTCTAGTAATTTACAAGTTTTTTCTGTATAAGGGAATAGTATATATAGGTTCGTAGACATATAGTGAGAGCCTGTGCTCTAGTTATAAACAAAGGAAATTAGTTGTCTGTTGTTTGCTGTAGGTACCACTTGCGTGTGCCTACTTTAGTTTCTTGAATAAAAGCTAGTGTAGCTTGGATTCCCCTGTTTGTGTCTAGCAGAAGAGACATTGTAAGTCTTGTCTCCTGTAGGCTGCTCTTTATTTTCTTTCTTGCTTCTCTGTAGTTTCTACAGCTAAGCAGTAGGTGTTGAGGTGTTTGTGTATATCCACAGCTGCATTTAGAGCTTTCTGTTTTTTTGTAACGTACCCTACGGGCGAGCTGATCAACGGGCGAGCTGACCACTTTTGCCAAGCCCCCACCAAAGTAACCTCTACATACCAATGCCTCAACAACAACCCAATATTAACGCGTTAAGGGAAGCCCAAATACAGCTTGCGCTTCAAGCTCTCAAACAAGACGCGAATCTCACCCAGCAACGCGCTGCAGCTATCTATAAGGTGCCTCAGAGTACACTAAGCACACAACGCGCAGGACAACCTTCACACGCTGATTCTATAGCCAACTCGCGAAAGCTAGACAACAACAAGGAGCAGGTGATTATTGAACATGTCCTTGAGCTAGACGCGCGAGGATTTGGCCCCCGGCTGGCAGATGTGGCTGCTATGGCCAATTCTCTGCGCGCTGAGCGCAATCTAGGCCCTATTGGCGTAAATTGGCCTAGTATGTTTGTTAAGCGCTAACTAACGTATTCCACAGGCGAGCGCCGCACACGGGCGAGCGCCGCACCCCACCAAACTTACGCACCTTATTTAACGTCTAACTTAACAACGTTATTATAATGTATATATATATTAATAGAGTAGATAAAGCAGTATCTTAAGTATCTACTTTGCACGTACGTGAATTATGGCCAGTCTCTCTGCACCTCCTGCAGCGCGCTAGAGCCTGGTGGCTAAGGCCTGATTGATCTCCTCCTTGACGCTGCTCACGAGCAATCTGCTGGTCAGCCTCACGTTGAGCGAGTAGATCCTCTCCAGCTCCCTTTGTTAAGACCCCACTCTGCTGTATACGCTTTTTCTTACGCTGTTTGCGTGCTGACGCTGCCTCATTGGCTCTCTCAAGGCTGGTGATCCGATCACGCATCAGCTCAGCTGAGAGCATCATCACCTTAGCGCCCTTCTTAAGCTGGTTAATTGCTTCAATAATTGAGGCAGGTGATGAGCTCTTGTGCCGGCGCACGCGATCACGTATCAACGTTGATTGAGCCTCAAGCTCGCGTACGTTGCTTGGTGTACGAGCCTCCCAGAGGGCCTCTGGCAGAGTATCTGGAGTAAGTGTACGTAGCTGCACGTCAAGCTTTGAGAGCACAGCGTCTGGTTGGAGAGGCACAAGGCCTGTACCTCGAAAGGCTGAGCAGATATTAGCTGAGGTGAACAATTGACTAAACGCTGCCTTAAAGGCTGGCAGGAACTTAAGCTTGGTGATATGGTTAATATAGTGGCGGATGAGGCTCTCAACCTCACAGCTATACGCGCGCTTCAACGGCGAGAAGCAGCCAACGTCAAGCAGCTGCAGTAGATGGGATGAGTGAGGCGGCATGCAGAGCGTATAGATATTGTTCTCCTTGCAGAGCTCTTGAAACTCAAGAGAGTGGTGGCTCTCGTGGCTGTCAAGGACGAGCAGGCAACGCACACCAACAACGCAAGTCTTTGTGTGAGCATTGAAGTGCTTCAGCCACTCTACTCCTAGCTTGTTATTTGTCCAGCCATTGTCGCTAACTGCGATTACCTAGTCGCGTGGGATCTCTGCTTCCTTGTACTAGGCAGATAGATGATACTTGCCAGCAAAGATAAGGAATGGTGGTACTGACCAGCTAGCAGCGTTAATTGCAGCAATCAACGTCACCTACTTGCAATTGCCTGGCTAAATAGCCTTTGGCTGACCTCTCCTCTCTAACCCTATTACAATAAGCTAAGTTGTGATCTTGCCTATTATAAAGCCTGCCTTGTTAAAGTTGTACACATTATTATTATAGATGCTGTACCTAGCCTTTATCTGCTCTACAAGCTCAAACCACTAACTAATTAGGGCTAGATCCTTGCATAGAGCTCTCTGTCTATCGTACGCTTGATTGAAACGCGTTGTGAGACTGTCTGTACGCTTGACAAAGGTAGATGGCCAGTTAACTCCTACGCGTCCTCTGCCGCGCGCAGCGAGCAGCTTATCAGCCATATCACGTACAGCTGCGTACGTAGGCGCAAATCCACGTTGGTCTAGAT